ACTATAGTTTAAATTTAATTCGATCAATTCTGATTGGTTGATTTGCTCTGTGCCGACGGCACACTTTAGGATTCAAAGGTATACATCGATTTGTGCCGATGGCACACGTTTGTTGTTAGCGCGTTAATGCTAATTTTTTTTAAAAAAAATATAGTATAATATTATTGTTTGTTTTAATATCAAATAATAAATCACAAAATAAATATCAATGTCTAGTCTATAGTCTATAGTTAAGAGTATTATATATAATATATATATATATATATATATATATATTATAATAAAAACTTGATATCTCACTGATAAACAAATGATGTGATTATTATTATTATTATTAAACGGAAATTAGGTATAATTGGGTTAATGGTTAGGACAATATATATATATAAGTTATATATATACAGTACCACTAAAACTATTGTTTATATCAAACAATTATTAGAAAATATTATTTTCTAAAAACTTTATATAATATTTTTGGGACAAACAAACAAAAACTTGATTTTTTTTAACAAAAATTATTAAACAAAAATTTCCAGTAAATAATAGATTTAAAATATAATATTGTTTTTTTGAGATTTTTTTATAACTATCTAATAACTAATAAGTCAATATTGTTGGTACATTAAATTATCATGCAATTTTAACCTAGCTAAATTTATGGAAAATTTTTTTGAAGGTCTAATCTAATAAAATATAAAAAATAAATCAAAAAACAAATATTTAAATGTATTTCTATTGCATTATAAAAATATAGATATAAAATGTGTCAATAAATATAGTTGAATATAATTGTTGTGAATAATATTTATTATTATTATTATTATTTTGGATTCAATATTAATAGCTATTTTTAGATATGTTTATGTTTACTTGGTTTAATAATAATAATAATAATAATAATAATATTTTATAAGTAAATAAACAAATTAAAAAACCATTTTACAAACTAATATCCGATACAATATGTTATTTATATATATATAAAAAGTTTACATTAAATTACTAATAATTGTTTTATATATATATATTAAACAATAGTTTTGACACTTTAATGATAGTAACAAAAGATATCTATAGCTATGGCTAATCAAAAATAAAATAAAAAGTTTTTAATATATAAAAACTTTAATTATAAACTATATATAAATATAAATTATATACTAATATAACGGTACTTATACTGTGATATTAGTATTTTTTAATCAGATTTTGATTATATATATATTGTATTTTGAATTGATTCCGTGTTTTTTTTTATAAAAATTTTATTTTTTTAGGTATCAATCAATTGTAAAATTGATGGACAAAAGTGTAAATACTGTTTTATATAACTAATCTATTTATAACTAATATTTATATACAGTATATATAAAATAAAGTTTAGGCAATAAATTTCACAATACTTTCAATTATATCCAATATTATCTGACAATTGATTGACATTTAAAAAAAAGTTTTTTAATTTTAAATACTACTGTACTATACATGTCATCAAATAAATTATTTTCATTTTAGTTTATATATATTTTTAAACAATTTTAATATTATTTATGTGTGTTTACATAGGTTATATTAAAAATAGTTTATATATATAATTAATTAAATAATTATTATGTAATTTATATTTTTAGCAATTTTTGTTTTTTTGCATATCAAAAAAAAAATTGCAAAACAATAACCAACTAATTTAAATATAAAAATATTTAAGTTATTTTATAATTAAAAATATATATATTAAAACTATCAAAATTACTGTAATAACCAAAATAATTATCCTTGATCATTTTATCGTATTGTATTGAATATAAATCTAATAAATCTATATATTTTTGTTTATAAAATACCAAATATTTAAATATTTATTATATAATCAAATAATAAACATATAAAAAAAATATCAAAAATGTGTAAAATTGTGAATAAATTATTTATCTATATTTATCAAAAGTTAATAATCAATATAAAAAAGCAAATAAATCTAAACAAAATAATATTGTGTAATAACTTTTATCGTATATATATATATATAATATTGTAAATAGTTATTTAATAATTTATGAAATTTTTTGAATATTTCACAATAATTTTGAAAAATGATAAAAATTTAGTTTTATATATAAAAATATATATATATACAGTATATATTGTATACAATTTATCAATATTAACATGTATATTGATGTTGTAAAATAAAAATTTTATATATTTTATGAAAATTTAATTGAGTTCATTGAATTTATATTTTCAAAAACAAAATATATAGATTAATAATAAATTTGATAAAAAAAATTTAATAAAAAAATGCAATATTATATGTAGATTTTTTAGGTTAAATTGCTAAAAAAAATTTTTTAGTTTAATTTTAACTCAATATTTTATAAGTATATTTCATACTTATATTTTTCAACAACAAAATTAATATAAACTAATAATAATAGTAATGTCAATACTTTTTTGTAGTAATATATTTATATATATATATATAAATAATAATAAAAATAAATATTGTAATAATTGTATAATAATATATTAATAATTTATAATTGTATTGTAAGTTTATTGCTAAAATTTAGTGTAATTTAGATATTTATAATTGAATTATAAACAATTTTTTTGTTGTTGTAAAACTAATAATAATATTATTGAATATTATATATATATATATATATATATATATATATATTTGAAATTTATAATTATTTAATCTAATAATAATAATACAATAGTAATACTATATATATATATATATATTATTGATATCACTTACCAATGGATAATAGGATACAAACTCTTTATTATTATTATTATTATTATTATTATTATTATTGTGATTATTATTAACATTAGAAATGCTTGCTTTTGGATAGACATTGAAATCGTTTGTCTTGAATGGCAGTGACATCGATGGTGTTGTCATCGTTGAAATCGTTGTCATCAAAACCAACAAAAGGCACGCCATTAATGTTGGGATCATTTTTTGTTTTCAATAGATATATATTAATATATATATATTGTGGTCAACAACAAAATATATATATAGATATTAGATTTACAATACAAAAAATTAATTAATTGATTTTTATAATAGTTTTTTATTGTTGGTTATAATTGCTTTCAAATAACTTTTTGTTTCACAAAAAAATAGTGATTAACTTATTATTAGTATTATTGATATTATAAGATCTGAAACTAATAATAAAAGGGATGCAATGACTTATATATAAATTTATAAATATATTTTTTGTTTGTTTTAAATAAAATACTTATATATATATATATATGTTTAGAAAGTTATATAAGTTTTATTTTATAGTTCAAGTCAAGTATTTTCTTACATATATATATACAGTATATATAATTTTTTTTGTTGTATATAATTTATATATAAAATAATCACATTTGAGCAAAATCGAGAAAACCATTTAAACTATATATATATATATATACTGTATATATAACTATATATATATTTGTATAATCGATATATCTTTTATATATTGATATATAATGTGATCTCAACGGGGGGGTTATCCCTCCTAACTAGTTAGTAGTTAACTATACATTAAACAATTATTTGGTTATATACAGTATATATATATACATGTATATAATATATACTGTATGTAATTGTATTGTAATTTTTCAAATAATCATTACTTTTTTTGGAGGGGTATATGTTATGTATAGAAAAAACAATTGGCTAATAATAATCATATAATATCAATGATATAATAATAATAATAACTATAGTATAAGATATTGTTGGCCTAAATTAAGTGATTTCAAAACATTTATAAATTATATTTTTTTTATTTAGCTTATATTTAACTAGATCATATTATATAGTATTTATAATATATATATATATATGATTTTATTTTTGTGAAATATATTAGTATTATTGTGTTTAAAATAATAACAAAAAAAAATAAAATAAATGCTTTTACGTATATCATTGACATCAAATTATTATATATAGTATATATATTACATAACATTGCTTATAGAAACTATGGTAATATATATATATAAATATATATATAATAGTTTTTTTTATATTTTTTTATGTTTAAATATTGCAAAATTTCTATAAATGTTTGATCACTTTTTTTAGGATAAACTAAAATTGATAGCATATTATTAATAATTTAACAAAATTTAACAATTATTTAGTTTTTTTAATACTCTCAAATAAAAGATTACATAAAACATAAAAATTTAAAAATAATAATATAAATAAAATTAAACTAATTATTTGTTTATTTCAAGAAACTTAATAATTGCCAGAATATTATTATAATATATTTTAATTAAAATTTGTTACACAATTTATTTTAACAACTAATTCAAATATATATTTAGAGAGAAAATTGAAATTTTTATAATAATTATATAAGTAATTGAATTAATTATTTTTGTAAATTAAATATAATATATATATAAATACCAGTGCTTGAAATATATTTTTTTATATTTATAACAATTAATATATTATAACATGTACAACAAATAAATAGACTTATTATGATTTTAATAATAATAATAATAATAAAATTACCAATGTCAAAAATTGTTTAAATAAAAATTTATTAATATTTATATTTAATAATTATAATAATTGGTTTTAATGTTTAATTAAAATACAGTACAAGTGTTTTTTTATAATTGAAAAAAGTTTATATAACAATTGATATTATTATTTATATTTATATTTATATTTAATATATTAGATATTTATTGAAAAAAATAAAATGAGATGACTTGGGAGCGCCAATATATATATAGACATAAATATAATCTATATATTAATATATTAATTATAATACTAATATTAATACTGATAATTATGATAATAATAATAATTAAAAAATTAATTGTGATTTGACTAAACAAATAGATTTTTTCACAAAAAAAAATCAAATAATGACTGAAATTTATTTTTATTTTTGCTGTAAAATAATAATAATTAAAAAAAAACTTTAAAATTGTTTGTTTGTTTGTTCAGTCATTTTGTTTATATATTCATAATAATAATAATAATAATAATATTTTTTGTGTGTTTAAAATTAAAAATAAAAATAAATATTATTATTATTATTAATGTTTTATTTTCTTCGTCTAAAACATGAGATGGGATTGAAATAGCATTGATGGTAACGGATCTGTCGTTTTTGATGGCCCTCATAGCCAGCAACCGGCGAACCGCCCATATTGTTGGCCTGGACTACCACCCGGTGCTTGGGATTGTTGATAATAGCGCCCAATTTGTCTAATTTGTCCAAATATAGGGCCCGATTGTACTCATTTAGGGCATCTTCATCCTAATAAATCGCAATAATAATAATAATTAAATAAAAATTAATTAATTTAATTAATGTATATTAAAATAATAATAATACTAATAATTTTTTTATTATATAAATTATTAAATCAGAAATATATTATTATATTTATAATTATTAATAGTTATTATATTACTATTTAAAATATATATATATATATATATATTTATCATTAATAAATAAATATTTAATATTATTATTGTAGTTATTGTATGATTTAATAATAATAAATATTTATTTAATTGAAATTGAAATTTTTAATTTAAAAAATATTCATACAGTTTTGACTTATAAAAATAAATATAATATGATTATCAAAATAAATTTAGATTAAATTAAATTACTAGTTAAATGTAATATATTGTAGATTGTATTACAAAAAAAAAACTATAATATTATATATATGATATTATAATAATAATTATTATTACATTAGTACAGCAAACGATTATTACAATTATTATTATACTTTACTATACTTTTAATGTAACAAAAATAATGGCTAAAGAGCTAACCTCTATTGGCTTAATAATAAAATATTTACAGAATATTCTATAATATTATATATATATATATATATATATATACTGTATATCATATATATAATACTATAATATAACTTATTATAATTAACTAAAAATTAAAATATAATTTTAAGTCAAAAAAAAAAAAAAAGATTTATAATAATAATTATATTTCGCAATTAAAATATAAATTAATGTCTAATATTATTATAATAAATAAATTAAATTAGACATTACATAAAATTATTAAGATTATTAGTAATATAATAATTATATTGCGCAATAACTGTATGAAAAATTTGTTATAATTATAATCTATAATAAAATTAATATTAACATTAATTATTATTATAATTATATTTAATTCAAAAATTTTTTTGTCTGCATATTTTGTTAATCAAATATTTTAATCTAATCAAAAAAAAATTAACTAAATGTTATGTAATTTGTTAAATAATAATAATAATGATATAGTAGAGTAGTATAATACTATATGTATTAATATAAAAGTAAAAGTTTTATACATTTTTAGGTACATTTAGTCTACTATTAATTGATAAAAAATAAATATTAATAAATTTGATAATTAAACAAAAAAAATCAAGATAACATTTTTTTATTAATATATTACAGTATAATACCTGCAATAATAATAACAATAATAATAATAATAGTAATACTAGTAGTAGTAGTAGTAGTAGTAGTAGTAGTAGTAGTAGTAGTACTATAAGTACTTATAAGTACTTACAAACAAAAACAAGTATAGTTAGTATTTAGTGTACTATAAGTACTGATGATTATTAATTTTTATAAAAAAAATTATTACATAATATATATATATGAAAATTAAAAATAATATATTTTTTTATAAATATATATATATATATATATATATATATATATATATATACTTACAATAGTATCGGGTACTACTGGTAGTGACATTTTGTTGCGGCCGTCATTGATATCGCTATTAGCCGCTAATGTGTAGACCATTAGCGAAACAATTAGACTGCAAATGGATATCTTCATTGTCATTGATATCATATTTCAATAATTTTTTGTTTTATTGTTTAATATATATAATTTTTTTGCACCAAAAAAGCCAATGATATACTAGAAAGAGATAACAATTAAAAAAAGGTTAATCTTTAATTATATAACGTTTTTATTTATATATTGTTTAAATACTGTATATAATTAGTAGTAGTAGTAGTAGTAGTAGTAGTAGTTGTAGTAGTAGTAGTAGTAGTAGTAATATAATACACAACTAAATTCAAGTGATTAGTAGTTTTAGTAGTAATTTAAGGATTTTTTTATATATAAAAGTTTTTTCCGTAAGTAAATTATCGGTTAATTGCATATATAATATATATATATTTAAAATAATATGTTATCAAATTGTTGTTGATTTATAATATTTAAAAAAATCAAAAGTTTAAAAATAGTTTAAATTAAGTTTTAAATTTAAATATATTTAGTATATACTGTATATAGTATTATATATATATATATAATCTATTATATAATAATAATATGAAATTTAAGTTGCTATTTGAATAAAAATAATTAAGTAGTAAAATGCTTAACAACAAAAAATAACCTGAAAATTATAGTATCAATTGTATGAAAATATCAATATATATATATATACAGTATATATATTACAAAATATAAAGTAAAGTTAATATATATAATACCAATTGATTGTTATAAAAAAAAATATTTTTTTTAATTATTATAAATATTATTATCAAAAATAAATAAATAAAATATTATGTAATAAAAATTTGATTTTTTAACTATTATAACTTTAAACTAAGTCAAGTCAATAACAACAACAAATAAAAAAAATTATGATTTATTGATGTAATTTATTATTATTATTTTTTTTAAAAAAAATATATAACTATATTATTATTACAATAAACCGATTTATAATATATATTACAGTATTTTTTTAAATATATAATATTAAAAATTTAAAAATGATATAATAAAATATTAATATACAATATATAAATATTATGAGAAAACTTTACAAAAATAACTATAATATTTATTACAAAAAAAAATAATAATACTAATTTTAATATATCTAATACAGTATAATATATATATATACAGTATATACTCTCTGATACCATATTTAGTATATTTGATATTATTTTGCGATAACAAAATTATAGACATATATTATTATAATTATAGATAAATATTAAATATACTGTAAATAATATAGTAGTTAATGAAAAATTTGAAATATGTATTAAATAAATATTTTCAATATATATATATATAGATATATTTAAATATAGATAATTTAGACGTCAATTGAATATTAAATAATAATAATAATGATAATATTTATGTATAATTTATAAATATGTTTAAATTTTGACCACCCGTTAATTTTGTTTATTACCAAAAAACTAAAATTAGTATCAAAAATTATTTATTTTAAATTTAATAAACTATTTATATATATATATATAATTTTATAAATATTAAATATATAATTTATACTTAAAATAATAAATATCTTGTTATTGTCAATAAATAACAAATATTTTTTTCAATATTTCATATCATTTCCATATATTTATAGAAAGATATTTAATATTATTTTTGTCGACAAAAAAACAAACAAAATTATAAACTAATATAAAACTACTATCTATTCAACAAAACAACAATAACAACAAAAATCTGGATAAATATATATTTAATAATGTATTTTATAATGTATTTTAATACTTAAAAAAATCTATGGAAATAAATTTATAAAACTTTTAACTTTAAAACTCTTAAGACATTTAAAATTAAAAAAAAACAATCATTTGATTAAAAAATGATAAAAAAAACATTATTACTATATATATATATATATATATATTTTACTATCAAGAGACACAAATATATATATATATATATTATTTTTAATTCAATAGAGTAGTCCTATTTATAATAAGAAACTTTTATTACTAAATAGATATAAAACTTATAAATATATTAATATATATATATATATATATATATATATATATATATATATATATATATATATAATCTTAAGATACTATTTTTTTAAAAAAATAATTTAATTACTTTTTTTACACAATGCAAATATATTAAAATTTAGTTTTCATCCAAAAATAATATTAATTATTTAAGTATTATTAATAATAATTTATTTTTTGTCAATATATTTAAGACAATATTTTTTATAATACTAATAAAATCATATCAATCATAGCTTATATATATATATATATATAGTTATTATATTTGATAATTAATGTACAATTCAAATAACTTGTCAAATAATAATAATAATACTATTAATTGAAAATATTAATTATTACAGAAAAAAATTATTTAGAAATATATAATTTATTGCAAAAAACATAGTAAACATTTTAGAGAGACAAAAAACATAATTTTTAAAAAAAAAATTATATACATTATAGACACTAACCTTTTTTATTTTTGAAATTTTTAGACACAAGTGTTTCAATTCACACAAATAATAATAATAATAATCAAGTTTTTTTTAAAAATAATAATAAAAAATATTATTCAACTCTTTTTCAAATTTCAATATAATATTCAACAACAAAATCAAAATTTTAAAAATCAGTGATTTTATATATATTTATATATATAATAAAACTTTATATTGAAATATGACTTTTTTTTGTCAATGACTGAGAGAGAGAGAGATAATTGTTTGCCCAGAAAACCTTTATATATATATATAGTTATATATATATTGATTGTATATATGATATATATATATATATATAAGAGGCACGCGTTTTGAGATGTAGGTGCTCTGGTTGGTCGGTCCCGGTGCCAGTCAATACACAATCTCAATACAATCCTTCAAATCTCTCTCTCTCTCTCTCTCTTTCTTTCTCTCTCTCTCTCTCTCTCTTTTTCAATCTCTCTCTCTCTCTCTCTCTCTCTCTCTCTCTCTCTCTCTCTCTCTCTCTCTCTCTCTCTCTCTCTCTCTCTCTCTCTCTCTCTCTCTCTCTCTCTCTAACTATGTTTCTCACCCGAAATGCAAGTGTCCTGACGTCGGCGCAAATATATATATATATATATAATTTGATTTGATTTTATCCAATATCTAAATGTATTTAAATATTTAACCTTTTAATATATATATATATATATATATATATACTGTATATTAAAAATGTTTTACACTATAATAAAATTATACCAACAAATAAAGTTATAATTAAAATTAAAACATCTCTCACTTATAGTCTCTCTCTCTCTCTCTCTCTCTCTCTCTCTCTCTCTCTTTCGGAGACATACAGAAAAAATCATAAAATATTTGCAAATCAAATATAACTATTAAAAAAATTATTTTCATAAAATCTTTCTATTTTTTATAAGTCAATTACAGACACACACAATAAAATATTGTGTAAAATAAGATTATTTAGACTTATTTTTTCAACAAAAAAAACTTTATATAATCTGTTAAAGTAATAATTTTTTTTTGAATATCTAATATTGGATTTGATGTTTGGTTTGTGTCATATTTTAATTCAAAAAAAATAAAATATATTTTGTTATAAAAAGTTTAGTATAGTATACTGTATATAACAAAAATGTAAGTTTAATGTAAAACAATTATTATTATTATATAAATTGATTATATGAATAGTGTTTTACTTTATATAAAGATTTTTAGTTTTCAAAAAAAAAAAAATAAATAAAATATAAAAACTATTTAGTAACACACGAAATAAGCTCATAAAATAATATAAAAATAATATAAAAATATAGTAATAATAATAATTATTATTATTATTTATAAATTTCAAGAATCATATACAAGACATTCATAGCAACAAAAATTGTTTGTATTTTTATTAATATAAATCAAATTCAGAAGAATATTCTGGGAATTATTATTATTTATTATTTATTTATTATATTATATTATATATTAATAGTTGTTTTGGAGACAATCGTCTAATTAAAAGCCCTCTCTCTCTCTCTCTCTCTCTCTCTCTCTCTCTCTCTCTCTGTTTGTTGAGATAAGACATATAATATATATAAAACATATATAAAACTTATATAAATCACTGACTATTTAATAATATCAAACTCTAAAAATGTATTTAATTGAGAAAAAATATCAATAAATATTATATTATTTACTGTATATTATTATTATTATTATAAATATATATTAATATATATATATATATATATATATATATATATATATATGATTAGAAGGTTGATATATAGTCAATGAGATTGTTAGATAATATAATAATAATAATAATAATAATATAAAACAAATTTTTTCCTATATATGATATATACTGTATATTAAATTATTATTATTTTTCAATTAGCCTTCAATTGTTTGGCCAAAAGCAAAGCAATTATTATTACAAATATATATTTATATATATATATAATATTTTTTTTATTATATTTCAAACAAAATAAATTAAATAAAATGAGCACACACAATTTAAATAATTATTGTTATAATTTAGTTTCTCATTAGTTATTATTATTATTATTAATTTATTAATTATGAAAACAATTGTAATAAACTTGTTGTTTAACAACAACAAGTTTGAAACAAATTGATTAATATTTTAAATAAAAAATTATTATTACAATTGTTATTAAACTTTTTTTATAAGTATTTTTTTCAATAAATTTTTTAAAAATATTAATAAATATGTGTCACTATTTAAATGGTCAAGGGCTTATTTTTTTTTGGTTGAATATAATTTTCAAATTTATAAAAAATTATTTTTTTAAACAATTATATGAATTATTTATATATATATATAATTATTAAATGTAAATAAAATAAATTAAAAAAAACATCCGACACAAATATGATAAAAAAATACTATTTGTAATAATTACTAAATAATTATTTATTTATTTATTTAAAAAACTACTAATAAGTGTTTTTATTTTGAAACTGTAGAAAATAACTACTAAAATAAATTAATTAACATTTTAATTATAATTATCTAGATTTAAAAAAAATAATAATATTAATTAATATT